ACATAAGTGGCACAGCAACGTTGAGGAGTTGGAATCCATTTCAAACGAGACTGCGAAAGGTGATCAAGATTCCAACACGAAATCTTACAGTGAGTCAACGACAAAGATCCTCGGAGTTCCTTGGGAAAAGAAAACGGACGTTGTTCGAGTTAGCCTCGAAGCTTGTCAACTCACAGTTTCACCATTGACTAAACGTAAGATATTGGCAGCGATAAACGGTGTATACGATCTGCTTGGGTGGGCTTCACCGGTGATGATTACTGGGAAGATTTTATTCAGTGAACTTTGTTTGCGTAAAGTTTCTTGGGACCAACAAGTACCTGATGACATAGTGCGACGTTGGAATCAATGGGCTAAAACACTTCGTGAATGTACTGAGATCAAAGTACCTCGAAGCGTGGTAAACAACAAGAGTCAACAGATTTCAATACATGGTTTTGCCGATGCAAGCCAACTAGCGGTATGCGCAGCAGTCTACGTTCTAGCCACCTACAACGATGGGAAGACAAGTCAGAACCTACTGGTTTCAAAGTCTCGTGTAGCCCCGAAGAAGGTTTCTATACCACGCCTAGAACTTGTTGCTGCCCACACCCTCGCCAAGCTGCTCAGTCGTGTGAATCGCGCTCTCAGTTCGTTGGATATTCTGAAGGAGAATCAATTGTGGTCGGACAGTTCAACAGTCTTGTACTGGTTGGAAAATAGGGGAACATGGTCTAACTATGCGCGGAATCGAGTGAAAGCAATCCATGATCTGGGGAACTTCACCTGGCATTACGTACCTACAGATCAAAACCCCAGCGATTTGGGTACTCGTGGAGTCGCACCACGGAAGTTAGGAGAATTTTGGTTAAAAGGTCCAGCATGGTTGACGGACAGATCATTGTGGCCAGAGCAACCTGAAAATACGGAAACTAAGGAAGCGTCATGTGAAACCTTACCAGTCAAGAAAGAGAAAGTACTTCTCGAGAAAGAAAGGGGAGCGAAGAACGAACGAAAAGAATGGGTCGAGAACATCCTTCGGAAACACAAATACTGGAAGCTTCTTCGCGTTACAGCCTACCTGTTGAGATTCGTGAACAATTGCAGGAAAAAGGAACAGCGAAAGGGGCCACTGACAACAGACGAGATCACAGCAGCGGAAAATCGGTGGATGAAAATCGCGCAGGAAGACGAAGAAGTAAACTGCCCTTTCCCGTTAAAGAAAGACGATGTCGGATTGTGGAGATGTCATGGTGGCGTCGCGAGCTAGCATCCTGTGTTCATACCTCGGAAACACCTACTTGCAGAGGTGATCATCGAACATTGCCACAAAGGAACCTTACACGGGGGAGTAAGGCTTCGTCATCATTGAGTGCGGACGTGTATTTGGTTGCTCCTCAATTCAAATATTTTGTAATATAATCCCACGTTATCGTGTTGTAATTATTATCAAACAAATGGGAGACCTTCAGCTGTGCTGGATGGGAGATTTTAAACAACTGAAGCAGTTTATAAACGAAAATATTGAGTTAAATGCTGTATGGAATTCACCAGGCGGAGACAAGAAAACATACAGTGACGGCCACACTTCAATATCGTGGCGGAAAAACAAGAAAGTCTTGCAAATAGAGGGTAAAGAGAAGGACCTGATTAAATCTAAGTTATGTTCAGTGTTATGCAATGTACATTCTCATATCCTGGCAAAGGAATCCGTTGCTACAGACGAGGGAAGCGGAAATTCCTCCCTGACATTATCTGGGCTGTCTGCTGATATGGAAGGCATAAAACTCGATACCGTGATTTGTGAAAGAGAGATTGAAACCAACAGACATACTATTAGAAATCTCGAAGACCGCCTTAATAAAGTAAGTGGCAACTTCGAAGAAGTTAGTAATAAACTTGATAATATGAAAGAACTATATTTTCCACATAACCAACATGTGTCTCAATCTGCCCCATTATTTGAATATTCTAATTTGCTGGAAAAAGATCTCCCACGGCCGAAAACTCTTTGTTATGATAAATCGACCAGTACAAAAGATTTAATCGTAAACAATCAGAATCAGATTACTGTTGACGAATTACATCTTTCCCCAACAGGTTTAGCACCCATGTCAACATATACAAGCGTGAATAGTACGTGTGCAGTACAAATATTAAAACCGTCGAAGCATGCAATTGTAAACCACAGTGAAAAACAGATTAATCAGTCATCTGCGACTAATACCTTTGTTTCGAATTTAATCCCAAGAACAGTTACTAATTCAACTTATTCAAATGAATTTAAAAGAAGACAGAACTTCTGTTTTAACTTATTAAACAAGGGCGGCCCGACTGAAGAAGGCTGCCACAACAACAATAATAATCCACCTCGAGTGCAATGTAAGGATCTGCATAAACAAGACATTAACCATGCTATCCCCACACGCATTACCTATCGTATTCCATCTAAGGTTAGAGCAAATCGTCAACAGGGTTTTCGGCCGAGTTATGCACGCCGACGGGCAGACTGGATACAGCACCTGGATTTGGTGCACCGTATACTGAATCCTTTAATGGAAATCGCAACCCCTGTATGGCCACAACATCCTACCTACCCCCCTTTACCACGATCACAACCCCAGGGTTCCCTGTCACCAAAACGCTAGAGATAACTCCAACATCTTATAATATCCCTGTGGTGCCAATTTTCAAAGATTTAAATATCCTAGACATTTTCAAAATCAATGACTATTTAACTGCCTTATTTATGTTTCGATACCACCACCTTAACAATTTACCAGATTTCTTTAAAAATTATTTTGTAACAAACAACCAAATTCATGAACATAACACGAGAAATGCATCAAAACTTCACAAATGTTATAAAAGAACAAATTATGTAAAACACACTCTCTCAAATAAAGGAGTTGATGTATGGAATTCGTTAGAAACAAAACTTAATGAAGTAAACTCCTATAACGCCTTTAAAAAGAGAATTAAACAACATTTTTTGCCATACACAATTACCAATATATAAAACATACTTCTCTAATGTATATAATGACATATACTTTAGTCTATTGTAGCCCAACATTGTCATTGTAAAATTAAATGCATCTACAACATTACTATTAATTTATATAATACGAACATTCCCACTTCTTTTTCTCTCTTGTAAATATAGTGTATATACTTCAAAACTTTCTGATTTTAAATATTATGTATTGTTTGACTGTAAATAATCGATTATGTGATAAAACGAACAGTAACTAGAGACCTAAAATAAAAAGTCTATAAAGATTTCTAGTAGGTCTCTAGCCCAACATCTTCAAATTATTGTAATATATTTTAAGTAGATTTTTATACATGGGAAAATAATTTAAAAAAAAAAAAGCGCAAAAATTTTGCTAGAGATCCTGTTAAGTCGAATTGCCGTAGCCACGTAAAGTTTAATTGTATTGAAATTAACACGCACCAAGTAAAGAAATGCCCTCTCCCTTCCCTCCTTGTGTCAAATGTCTGTCACATCACCAATAAGGTGACTGAACTATCTGCTGTTATTTCCAATAACAAATCAACAATAAATTTGATAGTAGAATCATGGTTAACAGACGACGTTCCCAATAGCTTTATAAATATTGGCGACAACTATCTTATTTTTCGTCTTGATCGACCAACACCCGGGGGTGGAGTTCTAGCGTACATCGATAAATCGGTACCAGTATCTCGTCTGCCAAATCTTGAAGAAGCTGGAAAAGAGGTACTTTGGCTGCTCCTTAAACTCCACCGCTCACCGAGACCCTTTAGTGCTATCATTGTGGTCACCGTTTATTATCCACCGGGGCAGTCTGTTGAGAAAGAACATGAAATGATAAGCTACCTCACAGATGGTCTGGACAAGGTCCTTCATTCTCGTCCTTCGACAGGAATAATTATCGCTGGGGATTTTAACAAATTGAATTTAAGACGCCTATGTAACCGCTTTAACCTAAAAAAAATGGTTTCGACCCCCACAAGAGGTAATAACATCCTAGACCAGATTTTGACCAACATGGCTGACCTCTATTTACCTGCCAAACATCTACCTCCCTTGGGTCGTTCTGACCACCAATGTTTCCTGTTATCCCCCCAAAATGTCAACAAACTTCCCCCTACTTCCAAAAAAGTTAGACTACATAAACCCGAAAACAAACAAACATTGAGTAGAACGGTTGCCCTCCAAAACTGGGACAATGTTTTAATGGCAACAGATGTGGATGATAAAGTCGAAGCATTTAATAGAACAATACTCTCTTTGCTAGACAAGGCTATGCCAGAAGTGACAATCCGAATGCATACATCAGACAAACCTTGGATTACCCCAAAAATAAAGGCACAGATTAAAGCTAGGCAAAAGGCTTACTGCCGTGGTGATAAACCCAAGTACGACCAATTATGTAAAAAGGTCTCAAAGTTAATTCGGAATGCAAAACAATCGTTTTATCATACCGAAGGGAGAGATCTTCGCCAAAAAGATCCTGCAAAATGGTATAAAACTGTCTATACTCTTTTGGGTGCTGAAACGAATCATAATTCTTTACAAACTCCATCTAATGAAGATCTGTCAAAGGTTGCTGAAAACCTACAAACTGCTTTTA